CTGCAGGGTCCTGGCAGGGGGGTATGGAAAAGAGTTGGTGGGGCACTGCAGTGTCCCTGTAGTCAGTCACAAGGGTGAATGACCACAAGGGCGCTGCAGCCATCATAACTTTGAAACAGGGTTGTATGTAATTTTGGGGTGTCTACTGTAACTTTGAACATTTGTTAAGTGACCTGTCATATCTCAAGGACTACCTGTACATGCAATAAGAAACTAGCCTTTTGCACTGTTTATTTCAAAGGTAAGTTCCAAACAGTTTAGTATAACTGTTTCAAAAGTAAGCCTGAAAAAAAAAAGATTGTAGTCTAATATAGGTTTATTTCTAAGCAAGAATGGGGTTTTTCAACCATAAGCAATGAGCTAAATTGTAGGTCTTAGCACAATCACACATAGCACTTAACTTAGTTCAGACAAGCCTGAATCTGAAATATATGTATATTTCTTGCTTCAGTTAAGGAAAAACAGAATCATAATGATAGTTAAGAGTTCTAAATGCAATTTCCAAAACACAAACTTATATACATGAACGCAACAGTAAAAACCTGGCTCATATTAAGTTCTGCCAATAAAAATCTTTCCCATTTTGTCAGCGAAAGCTATGGGCCATGTAAAAATGTTCACATGATGTGCTGACACGAAACATTATCAGATTTGTTTTCACATGTCTGAGACTGGTAAAATCTTGATTGCTCTTAAGTGACTATACACAAAGGAACCCACGGGTGACTGAAAATCTGTGGACATGATTTTTCCATTGGCAATACTTTAAGCTGGTTACAATCCAAAACTATGCATTCACTTAGAAGCAATGCACAACAGAATTCACTTCCATGTATGAGTTTGTTAGATTTCCTGAGTTGCTATAATATAGTAATAGAACAACTAAACTTTCATTTCAATTAATATTTCCACAGTTTTGTGTATAAATTGTATACTAAGCCGTTAGACAATTCCATTTTTTTTAAAAAAAAATCTCTCCTTAGATCATCTAAAGCCACTCCCAATTAACAGAAAGCTTAGCATATACAGAGTACGAAAGGTACAAATATTAAGGGTAATTCCATGACTTCCAATAAATTATTATCCTTTAAAGGCATTAAGTTTTATTTAGCCTCTATAATTTAAGAATGGCCATTCTTTCATTTAAGTAATCATCCAAAGCCACAAGTATGAAAACAAGGCTTGTCAATACCACTGAGTTTTATTCAATCAATAATTAATTGACTGGTAGTCTTCTCATATGAGAGACAGTCTGATGTAGTGGTTACAGTACCATGCTAAAAACTGGAAGATTGTGGGTTCTAGACTTCCTTGAGGCACAAAGCCACCTGGGTGACCTTGGTCCAGCCGCTCTCTGTCAACCATAGGAAGGAGGCAGTGGCAAACCACTTCCGGAAATTTTGCCAAGAAAACGGCAGGGACTACTCAAGACAGTTGCTAGGAGTAACATAGGCACAAAAGCCCCAAAGTATTTCCATAGCCTCACAAGAATTAAAAAAAAAAAAAGATCAGTTACCTATTTTCTATTTAACTTTGGATAGAAGTTTGGAATTAAAGCTCAAGTGCTAAGAATTCAGAACATTTATTTTTATAAGGCAAGGAACAACATGAACAAAGACTTTCAGAAGATGTTTCTTCCTTTATATCTCAGAATCTTGACCTGGATGAATGCCACATTAACAAAAGTCTAAGTTCTAATAGGAGAAGAGGGCAGCATGCTAAGCTAAAGTGTACCCAGCTACTTTGTGGCCTCTGTATTTGGGTGAACACTACAAAGCATGATTCAGATATCAATACACCCATTCCCTTTATTATTTAACCTTGAAACGTAAATGCAAAATCTAATATTTTACAATCTAATTCAGGTTTTTGAATATGAACACTGAGCGGACATTCATAAGTTTACAATCCACATGGAACTGTAACTTTCTACTTTAACCATTTTTTTAAACAACATTTTAAAATCTATAGAACGATGCCCTTGAAGTTTAACATGTTGCACCAAAAATATCTCACACTGAAGAAACATTTTGACTTGCATTTTAATTATTTGAAAGCAAGGAAGGGAATTAAGAGCCAGGGTGCAATTATTATGAAATTAACCATATACTAGCCTATCTTTTCTTTGGACAATATTTGGCCATTCAGTATAAACTTTTTAAATCTCTGCCATTCCATGTAAATAAGACTTATTTGACTGGCTGCAATTGACCCTGTTAAACACTAGGAAAGTGCATTTCTAGCTGCAAAGTGCACTGAGTTCAGTATTTTAGATTATGTGATTGGAGCATGTAATTGTGATCTGTATACCTATTCTGGTAATTGAAACCTAAGTCATAAGGATATGTGTTAGAAGTAAATCAATGTAATTCCCAATGGAATTTATTTAGATAGATTAGATATGTGAGTTGCAAAATACCTTTCCTAGAACCAACCAATATTCATTTTGGAAGCAAGACCTTGGGCTTATTTCAATAAAGGCAGAAATGAGTATTTTACTGACACTACATATTTAGTCATAATTTATTAACTTAGCAGTTAAGCTAGGAATGCAAAACAGTAGAGCAATTTGTACAATATATACAAACTTCATGTTAGTCTATTAAAGATATCAAAGCATTAATTACGCTCCGTAATATATCCTACTTCACTGTATGACTGAAGTATGAAGATTTACTTTCAGTCAGCAGTATATACTCACACAGATATAAATACAAAGGAAGACATATTTCATAAATTGTGTATAGCCAACATTCTAACTACTGACCAATAAGTAAATCAAAGAACTGAGTCATAGTCCAGTTACAGTGTAAGTATTTGTAAATTCACAGGATAAGTCCTTTGGTAAATAGAAGTATATTTCCTTCTTTTTAAAAACTTTTGGCATTTTTTAAAAAAATGTAAATTGTTATACATTTCAAAGATCAGGTAAAACTTTTGACAGTCTATGACTCAATGGCTCTGTTAAGTCTTTATGGTGCCAAGCATCTGTTCCGTTGACAATAACAGAATAGAATAGAATAGAATAGAATAGAATAGAATAGAATAGAATAGAATAGAATAGAATAGAATAGAATAGAATAGAATAGAATAGAACCTTGGAGGTCTTCTAGTCCAGCCCCTGCTCAAACAGGAGGACCTATACATCTCAGACAGTTGATTTTCTAGTCTCTTCTTAAAAATCTTCAGTGATGGAGTGCCCACAATTTCTGGAGGCAAGCTGTTCCACTGGTTAATTGTCCTCACTGTCAGGAAGTTTCTCCTTAATTCCAGGTTGCTTCTCTCTTTGATCAGTTTCCAATTGTTTCTCATCCTGCCCTGTGGTGCTTTGGTGAATAACGTGACCCCCTCTTCCTTGTGGCAGCCCCTCAGATACTGGAATAGTGGTATCATGTCTCCCCTATTTCTTCTTTTCTTTAGACTAGCCAAACCCAAGTCCTGCAGCCGTTCTTCATATGTTTTAGTCTCCAGGCCTTTGATCATCTTAGTTGCTCTTCTCTGATTTTTTTCCAAAGTCTCAACATCTTTTTTGTAATATGGTGACCAAAATTGGCTGCAATATTCCAGGTTGGTCTTACTGCTTACTAAAGCAGTACTAATACTAATACTTCACATGATCTTGATTCTATGCTTCTGTTTATACAACCCAGGATTGTATTAGCCTTTTTGGTGGCGGCTGCACACTGCTGGCTTATAGTCAAGTGATCGTCCACTAGGACTCCAAGGTCCCTCGCACAATTACTCTTTTTAAGCCAGGTCTCACCTAATCTGTACTTGTACCTTTGATTTTTCTTGCCTAAATGTAAAAGTCTGCTTTTCTCCACAATGAAACTCATTTTGTTGGACAGGGCCCATTGTTCAAGTTTATCAAGATCTTTTTCGATCCTGAGTTTATCTTCTGGGGTGTTGGATATTCCTGCCAGTTTAGTATCATCTGCAAATTTGATGAGTTCCCCTTCAATTCCCTCATCTAAGTCATTTATGAAGATATTGAAGAGTACTTGGCCTAAGACAGAACCTTGTGGTACCCTACATGTGGATGTAGTGCCATTGAGCACTACTCGTTGAGTATGGTTTGCCAGCCAGCTATATTCCTAGATGAAACCAGTCATTTTGATTTCTGATATTAACTCATTAAATTCTAAAGGAAAACTGATCCCAAATTAGATTTACCTTGTTTTTTTTTCTTCCTGCGGTACTACAGCTACAAGAAAGGTGAAGGACAAACTTATAGCACAACCCATCAACTACTAGTAGTAACTCTTTCTCCACAGACCTATTGTTAAGTAGGTGTGTATGGATAAACAGATACACTTATAGAGCAACATGGAGCTCATAAAAAAGCCACCTGTGGAGACTAGAAAGGCGGAGTGAGTAGCAGGGTGTCCTTGTTAATCCTCCTAGCTAGCAGACAGCAGCCTTGCTATGAAGTATCCCCCTTGCAATTGCTGTGGCAAAGTCCTCTAGATGGCCCTGAAAATAGGCTGCCTTTCCAACTGCAGTTTCCTGGATGCACCTTAAGAGGTTGTGGAGTGTTGAGGTGGAAATGCAAGTAAACTACCCCAGGATTTCTAATGAGACATTCCAGGGAGCATCATGTGGGAAAATGCCAAGCATACTTGTTGCATGTGCTCCACTGCCCCAGCTCTTCTCCTCTTTCCCTTAACATTTACCCACAACGTCTAAGCAATTAGACCTCAAACCCACAGATACAAATACAACAAAGGCTCTTTATCGGGCACTCTCTTTTCCTTGCCAGGAAGCTGATGAGCAGCCCCCTACTTCTATGGTTCACCATCCCAGGGCCATTATGCCGGCTCGATTTGGGTAAACATGGGATCAAGCGTAGAATCATCCCCAAATCTCGGTTTCCTCTCGTTTTACCGCCGGTGTCAAATGCCCACAGGGGGAAAAGAAAATCTTTTCAGGCAACCTGCCGGCGTTTTACCCGCCGCTTCTTTGCTCGTCCTCCTCCCCACCCTCCTCCGACTGGTACTCACGCTCTCTCCGCATTCCTGGGAATGCCTCGGGGCACCGCTTTAAGTCCCAATCCGTGACAATCCACACTGGATCCCGAGCAGGTACATTTACTGGGACACGCTTCCGTCCTAGGCAGCCAAAGCGCGACGCTCCACAGACCCCAAAGCAACCAGAGGCGCCCCGTACTCTCCTTGCCTGCGCCCAGCATGATCGCGGCGCCTCTTCGGATAGAAATGGGAAGAAGCGAATGAAAAAGAAAAGAAAAATAAAAAATAAAAACTTGAATCCGATCCGAAATCAGCGCCGGGAGTCCAACAAGCAAGCTCAGCACCGCCGAGGGAAGCGGGATGCTAGAGAAGGCATCTCTTTCAAACTCCCGGACGGGTCTCCGCTTTGCCCCTACACACACTCCGCAAAAGCTCCGAGAGACGCCCCCGTCCTCCTCTTCGCAACCGAAGGCACAACCTGCCCGGCTCTGCTCTCTGCTCTGTCTTCCTCTGCAAGTCCAGGTAATCGGCCGGTGGGGAAATGCGGGGGAGCTCAGCAGCCCAGAGGCTCAGTCGACCGGCTAAGCCCGCCGCGCACAGCCCAGCATGGCCCCCTGGAACCAACGGCCGGTAGCAGCAGCAGCAGCAGGATCCAAATCCCCAGAACGGAGCTCACGGAGCTCGAGGAGACCCAGGGGCGCTCGCGACCGGCCGCCTCTCCATGGTCTGGGCACGGCAAAGCAGGCGGACCCGGGAGCCGCGGGAGCCGCCCCCCTCCCCTCCCCAAAATATAACCTCCGGCGCTGATTGGCGGCCGCCCGACTGACGTCATACAACTTTGGAACTTTGGCAGGGAAGGTAGGGCAAAAGTTTTTAAGAACGGCGGTGGCTGCCGAGGGGAGCGCTGGGGCCGGAGCGGAGGTGGCTGAGCTGCGCCGAGGCGTTGGCATTGGTTGCCTGGTCGGGCTTAAACGAGAGAAGCTAGTGGAACCTGAAAAACTAACCAATGAGTTCGCTCTAACATAGCCCTAGTGGTTAAAAAAAATGTGTAGAATATGCACAAAGTACCTTTTCCTTACTACTGCAAGAGTAACCGTGACCATCATTCATATAGCCGTTGATATCCTGGGTGATTTGGGCCCTTTGATTTCTTCTTTTAGAAATGATCGCTGCGACTAGGGTACCAGATCTGGGCTGCCAAAATCCCAACCATCACTAGTGTGCAGGAAGGAGACCCAGGAAGCATTGACTGTCACTGGCTGTGGTTTTAGTGAAGCAAGTCTGGTAGCCCTATTCTTCTATGTGGGATAAAATTCCTTTATAAGGCGTTCTTACTATAATTATTGCTTACATTGAAACAGGATTCAGACACCACGTGCTTTTCGTTAAAGAACAAGTTCCCAAAGTGTGACTCAAGCCCTGTCGTCTATAGGTAGTATTTACTGGATCTTTATCAAAAGTTGCCATTCACGTTCAAGATCATTACAATAGCCAGAAGCACTGAAGCTTGTTCTGTTAGAAATTACAGTCATTTGCCAATGGATATCCATTTTAATTTGCAGGATTAATGTAAGACATTCATTCATTCGTTCATTCATTCTGGCAATCTCATTTTAAATGGATTTGAGCAGTTTACATCAAAGTCTCTGGTTCAAAATTCAACCAAACCCTAAACTTAGGTACACTTTGTTTCCAAGTATTTTATTTCAAAACTGATTCCGTGTACTGAAGCTTCATAGCCTGAAAGTTTGACCATCAGTATGTCCAAGAGTCTACTCTAACTTTCTGCCAGGCCATATGACATGTACCTGCACAGGGACACATACAAAACTATCATTTTACACTCTGCTTTTGCTCATCATTATCAGCAGTTCAAAACTGTTGTTGTGTTACCTTTTGAGAAACCCTGTTAGGTAGTGACAGGACATGCTTACCCCAAGTTAAAAACATGGTTTGCTCAACCAAAACAGTTTTCTGGATTTGTAAAATAAACGAATCATACAGGTGAAGTTTTCACAACCCATTAGGCTGGTTTGTGGTTCACAGTGGCATGTTGATACACCCAAACAAATTCTACAGAAAACACACTTCCAGATCAGAATCTATAGGAATAGATCTGTGCTAATGAGGTCTAATAAGGCTTTAAACATCTGCCTCCAACTTAATCCTTTGTCTATAATATAAATAATAATACAGTCGCCTGCCCATTCCCCCCAGGCCGCGTCCACCTCTCTGGTACCTTCCCTACTTCTCTTCTCATTCTCTCCTCCCCTCCTACTCTCTTCCCCTCCCCTTCTCCTCTTACCATCCTACTTCCTCCCTGCACCTTCCTCCCCTCTCATCCCTCTCAAACACATGAATGCAGCATAGGGGAAATGCTCAAGCAGCACGTAGCTCGTAAACTACCATACCTATATAATCCTTACCCACCCACTCACCCACCCACCCTCAACCCTCCCCCCCTCACTTCCCAGAGCAGAGTACAGGGTTATTAATGAAAAAGTTAACAATAAAAAAAGAAAAGAAAAAAGAAAAGGAAAGAAAAGAAAAAATATCATACTTAACCTTTAACTCCCCTTAAATTAAATCATCATAAACAAATCTCTACAACATTTGCTATAAAATTTACTCATAAAATAAATGAAACTTTGTAGTCCCATACTTTTTCTGAATATAATCTATCCATCTTCTCCATACAATAATATATCTTTCTTGTGTATCTTTTTTTTACCAATGGTTATGAATTTATTTTATCTTGTGAATTGTATTTTGTATGAATAAATGGAAAATAAAAAAATATTTAAAAAATAAATAATAATACAGTATTTATATATTGAAGGAATTCATAGAATCTATCCAACCTTGACTTACAGTATTTGGGAAAGCTATGTAGCCCTGGCTAGCTCTTGAATGGAAGATAGCCTGGAAATTCTAGGCTGTCAACTGGACCAGAAAGTTGAACAAATTCAATATTTCAGAAGAAGAGCAAATCGCCTTTGTATTAATGCCAAGAAAATTGGAACTAAAACTGAATGTGGTCATCTGAAGTTGAGTTCATCTCACAAAGAAACTTATCTTTAGCAGTACTGACCTGGTGAACAAACTTGGTCTAAGGATAAACTGGGATAATATTCTTGATTGTGGTCATAGGAAAAAGAAATATCGTAATGAGCATCATGAGGCCCTTCCCAAATTAAACTCCAGCTTGCATGGCCAGTAATGGAAGTTATAGGAACAACATGTGGAGTACAATTCATTGTCCTTCCATGAATTAGATAGTTGTTTCTCTCCACATTCTTTGTTCTTTTCATTATTTGTTTATGTAGCACCTTCCTAAGTCCAACAGATTGCAATATCTTTGTTCTGTCCAAGCTTTCATAAAATTCTTAAAGCAAAGTACACAATATCTCAAAATCTTTCTGGAAGAAATGAGTTCCAAGTCTAGCACACAGAATTAAGTAGAAGCTTGTTCTATGGAGTGCAAGAAATTTAGCCCAACTTTCTCCTGCCGGGGTGCATATTTTCTCAAACACTACAAGGCTTTTCAGACACACGTTTATAGTTAACAGCACTGGGGGAAACCACCCAACATGTTAGCTTGCTCTACAAAATTCTCAGGTTTCAGAACTTTCATGAAAATCACATTTTGGTTATTTTTTCCTCACTCTTGTACTACCCTCTGGTGGTAGAAATGCTTTCCATTTTTAACCAGACATAACTTTCCCAGTTGGAGTCATTTCTCCAAGACGAGCACAATGACTCCCAATTCATTTTAGATAATTTTCTTTCTTTCTTTTTTTCCTGCCACATTGCTTGGAGTTATATCAAGACAAGCTACATTTCAGATCATGCAATTCATGCCATTAGGTTTGTATTAATGGATACATTTATACAGCTTCCCTGGGGATAATTCTATTAATCTGGAGCAGTAAAAACACTAACTTTTCACAGAAAATGCTGCCCACCTACAGTATTAAATACACAACAAGGATGTGAAAGCCTTGTTGACACGGTATATTTCCAGATAGGATGTTTGAGAAATACAGTAAGGTTCAAAGGAGTATAGTTCTTGGAAGAATAAAAGGAAATTATAAAGCAAACCCTTTCAGGAAAAGTACTTCCAGATACATCTTGAAAGTTCACTTATTGAATAAAAAATACAGTGATGATAAGGGGAGATATCTTTAGATTCCATTATTTAAAGGATTACTAAAAATAACCTTTTTATCATAGAATTTATAGCTTGAAGATGGCACTGCTTACTGAAACCTTCCTTCAGCAATATCCTTCCTTGATTCATAGCTGCTTGCTTCAATTAGATTTAGGAAAGGCATCTTTAGGGGGACTTCAGCACTAAGGATGCATCCCTGCCCTGCCCTGCTCGCCCTGCCATCCCCTTCCCTTCATTTCCCACCCTACCCCATGAGGGCCATTTTAAGACTCTCTAGTCATTTCCCTCTAGCAATTTACAGCATCTTCTACATTCATCCAATCACTGTGCCAAAACAATAATAATGGTGGACAAGCTTTACATTGCTTCAACAAAGGATGGCAATGCCATCAACATGCTTTAAGTCACTTATAGTCTCCATTCCACCTTTTCTTGTGGCATTTTAGAGTAATGTAATTTTTTCTCCCCTGCTTTTTGTCCCTAGCCCAATAATCAATCAGGTGTATGGAGGAATACCTGAAATAACTCTTGGCACTATATTTTAATTCATAATCTTTCTGTCTTGAATGAAAAATGTGGATTCATTGGATCATTTCAAATGCTACATTATGTATTTGGATGTTAACTCTCCATATATGGAGACTGGGCAATTGTCTATACAACACCATGCATGCAAATGTACACACAAGATGCTTGCAATGTCCTTTAGTGTCACCATCATTTCTGCTCTTTTGATTTGTTTGGAAGGAAAGAGATAAGCTTCCCTTTCCAAGTTCTGCATTTCCAGGCAAGACCCAACTTTGCCCATATCAGTAAGACTGTTGAACTCAAAACCAAAGTATGGTTGCATGCTACATATTAATTTGGCAATCCTGGCTCGGGATTTCATTTAGGTACAACAGTGTAAATAATTGATATTAATCCTGCACGTAATGCTTTGCAGCATAGTGTAAACTGTAAGGGGGGGGGTGGAGTCAGAGTTTAAATTTAAAGAGGTCTTCTCCAACTGGTGTTCTTCATATGTGTAACAAAACAACCTCTCTCACAGCCAACATGGGATTGTGGAAGCTGGTGTTGGAGGGGGGTAGCTAATTAGAAAAAGCACGTTGGAGAAACAGCAGTAGATCAGATTGGAGTATTACAGAGATAAGAGTGGAAAAGGATGACCACAAGTTTCATGTTTCATGTTTGTTTTTCATACTGGTAATTGTCCACTTACAACAATTTATTTAGTGACCAACATTACAACAGCACCCAAAAAGTGACTTATGACCGTTCTTCACACTTATGACCATTGCAGCATCCTCATGGTCACATGATCAAAATTCAGATGCTTGGCAACTGATTCATATTTATGATGGTTGCAGTGTCCCGAAGTCATGTGATCACCTTTTGCAAGCTTCTGACAAGTCAATGGAGACGTAGATTCACTTAACAACTGTGTTACTAACTTAACAACTGTGGCAAGAAAGGTCAAAAAATGGGGCAAAGCTCACTTAACAAATGTTTCAGCAACAGAAATTTTGGGCTCAGCTGAGGCTGAGGACTACCTGTACTCTAATTATACCTACCTGTACATTGAGA